CCAGGCCGCGCAGCGCGTGCGCGCCCCTCCCTGCGCCAGGCACGAACCTCCGCCGCGGCAAAATGCAGCGCGAACAGCAGCAGGCACACCTGCGGGAGGCGCGGTCAGGGAGGCGGGCCGCAGAGTCCTGCGGGGGACGGGGGTACAGGGAGACCGGGTCGGGGGGTCGGGGGACCAGGCTGGGGTCGGGTCGTACCGCGGTGAGCAACGGCAGCGAGAGGCCCGCGCTGAGGCGCCGCAGCGCGAACGGGCGCACGCTGAGCGCGGGCGCGGCGCAGCCAGCTGCAGGGAACTCGAGGCGCAGCATGACGGCAGCGTGCAGCCCCACGGCCGGGCTGTAGCGCGTGAGCTCCACGAACACGGCGCGGCTCCTGCGCGGAGAGCGGGGGAGGAGCGCGTGAGGTGGGGCCGCCCGTCCAAGAGGCACAAGGGGCCACTCGGGGGCTGGAGCGGCCTGTGGGGCGGGCAGCGGCAGCGGAGAGAGAGGCACATCCACAGCCGGGCGCCCACCTGTTGTCCAGCCAGTGGTGCAGCTGCAGGAAACCCAGCCGCGCGCGGCTCTGCTCCAGGCTCAGGCCCAGTTCCTGCACGTAGCCCCCGCTGTCGTACACGGCGCAGTCGCCCCAGGACCAGGCGCTGCGGGAGAGCGGTGGTGCTTGAGCCGGTGCCCCCCCCCCCCCAGGAGCCATGGCTGGCTAGGGAGCGAGGGGCTCCTCTGGATGACTTTCCTCCCCGCCTGCAGGGAACCCCAGGGCCCGCCTTCTGCTCACCCCAGCAGGTCGGGCGCAGAGTAGGCCCACGTCTCGGAGCCGGAGCCGTTGTGGGCTATGCTCTCCCAACCAACACCATAGTCGCTGGTGCTGAAGCCACCTGCGGCTGAGCACATGTGCACCCCCGAGCCGGGAGGGTCTGGGTGGAGTGCTGAAATGCACAGGGGGCCAGGGCCAGGCCCAGGGGACAATCATAACTCAGACGGGAGCAATGTTTATCAGCTGGGCTGAGCTGCTCTGTACCATCTCTCTGAATCCTCCCAGCAACCCATAAAGTAGACATCAGGATTCTCCATTCCACAGAAAAGGGAATAGCACGAAGACAGGCTCACAGCTAGCTAGGAGAGCTGAAACTAGAACTCACTAAAGGATACTCTTTGCAAAGACAAGGATAAGTGTTGGGGTGACCCTCCCCAGCTCACCTTCCTGTAGCCGCACCTGCCGCAGCCGCGGGGGCCCCAGTTCTGGGCTGGACTGGTTCCCGTAGACATAGGGGAGCAGCACATGGGACATCCACGGCCAGAACTCGTCAGATCTGCCCACCGCAGACAGAGTCACACACTCATCCCTCAGCTTCCCCACACCCGACCAGGGGTAGGAGACCCACAGATGCTCACAAAGCACTGCTTACTGCAGCCCCAAGGGGACGAGGCTAGACCCTGGTCCTCAGCCTCGCCCTGCTGACGTTTTGGGGCAGGTAATTTTTTTTTAAAGATGACCGGTAGGCCAGCCCGGTGGCACACTGGATAGTGCGCCGCTTGGGAAGCGCGGCGGCGCTCCCGCCCAAGGGTTCGGATCCCACATACAGACCGGTTCCCGCTCACTGGCTGAGCGAGGCGCGGGAGCAACACCGAGGGTTGCGGTCCCGTTGCCGGTCCCGGTCCGGTGCGGGGGCGACACTGAGGGTTGCGATCCGTTGCCGGACACGGAAAAAGACAAAAAAAAAAAAATGACCGGTAGGGAGACCTTAACCCTCGGCTTGGTGTTGTCAGCACCACGCTCTCCCAAGTGAGTTAACCGGCCATCCCTTTATAGGGATCCGAACCCGTGGCCTTGGTGTCATCAGCACCACACTCTCCCAAGTGAGTCACGGGCCAGCCCCAGGGCAGGTAATTCTCTCTCATGGGCTGTACTGTGTACGCAGTATCTCTACCCACTAAATGCCAGTAGCATCTACTCCTATCCTGACAACTAAAAATGTATCTAGACATCTGCAAATGTCCTCTAGAGGTTGGGCTAGACTGGTCGGTGTCACTGCTGCCCTAGCCCAGCAGACAGACGAATATGTGGGTCCGGGGGCATCCATACCGGGTAATGGCCAGGAAGGCCTGGCTATCCAGCTCCTGCTTGATGGCGCTCTGCAGACGATAGGCGTGGCTATGGCATGAGGCGTCCCCGTAGTTGGCCAGCAGTATCACCAGTAGGAAAAGCATATACACCAGGAGGCTCTTGGAGACAGGGACAGCCCTTGGGTTAGCCTGATCCCAGCCCACAGTAACAGGGCAAGACTTCAGGACTGCCAGGCAGTAAAATGCCCCTGGCCAGGGTGCCTGACACTAGGAAACAAGAGCACAGACACTCCACCCGTGCCCCTACACACAATCCACTGAAGGCCAAGGCAGTAATGCTCGAGGCCCTACAAGGCC